TGGCCCCAATAGGCTGAGCTTCCTTAGTTGGAAGCATGGGCAAATTTCGGGTTCGGTTGATGACGACAACTTGTGCAACATAGTAACTTCTTTGTGTAGCCGAAATTATACGCTTAGTTGTCTTCAGCGTGGCTAAGTCAACTTTGAAATGTAACTCGATATACACTTTCTTCTTGGCTGCCGTGTGCACCAAGTCCTTTAGCCCTCGCTGTTGACCGTGTTTCTCGATAAATCTTCGAGAGTAGCCGTTCGCCATTAGTGTTGCTGTAATTAACACTAGCTCATCGTCCAGAGAGTCGGCCGAACAAATTCGTATGGCACTACTGACTAAAGTCTTCACAAGCGTCCGTTTGTACCGCAATGGTGTGAAGCTGGTAAGGTGCAGATACTGACCTGACCAAGTTGATATTCGGTAAATGCACCTCTTAATAAATCCATCATCCCTGCGACTTATGAGTATATCCAGGTATGACAGACAATTGTTCTGTTCTATTTCGCATGTAACCCGTAAGTTAGCATGAGCACCGTTGAGCCGTTCTACCAAATATGTGAGCCGCTGCTCCGACGAACAGAAAGCCAAGATATCATCGACATATCGTTTGTAGTAAGGCACCTGGGCTATTTCCGTAGAAATGCTTTTTCTACCATCAGCATGAAGAAATCAGCGAACACAGGATCCAATGAGCTACCCATTGCTACGTCGTCATTTTGACTGTACGGTGTAGAATGGACGTAGAATCCTTATTTACCAACGTGCTGATACATCAAACGGTTGATTACGTGTGCGAATTAGCTGAAAACGGTGGCTGATCGCTACCAATCCCGACTGAATCGCTAAGAGAATCTATACTATTGCGCACGGATAATGTGCATTTTCACTTCCGGATTACACCATACCGTCAAATTGACGACATAGCAATGGGTAGCTCATTGGATCCTGTGTTCGCTGATTTCTTCATGCTGATGGTAGAAAAAGCATTTCTACGGAAATAGCCCAGGTGCCTTACTACAAACGATATGTCGATGATATCTTGGCTTTCTGTTCATCGGAGCAGCGGCTCACATATTTGGTAGAACGGCTCAACGGTGCTCGTGCTAACTTACGGGTTACATGCGAAATAGAACAGAACAATTGTCTGCCATACCTGGACATACTCATAAGTGGCAGGGATGATGGATTGATTAAGAGGTGCATTTATCGAATATCAACTTGGTCAGGTCAGTATCTGCACCTTACCAGCTTCACACCAGTGCGGTACAAACGGACACTTGTGAAGACTTTAGTCAGTAGTGCCATACGAATTTGTTCGGCCGACTCTCTGGACGATGAGCTAGTGTTAATTACAGCAACACTAATGGCGAACGGCTACTCTCGAAGATTTATCGAGAAACACAGTCAACCGCGAGGGCTAAAGGACTTGGTGCACACGGCAGCCAAGAAGAAAGTGTATATCGAGTTACATTTCAAAGTTGACTTAGCCACGCTGAAGACAACTAAGCGTATAATTTCGGCTACACAAAGAAGCTACTATGTGTTGCACAAGTTGTCGTCATCAACCGAACCCGAAATTTGCCCATACTTCCAACAAAGGAAGCTCAGCCTATTGGGGCCAATTCACAATGTGGATACCAATTTGTATGTGACTGCGAAAACAGTTACATAGGCCGAACTAATATAACGCTGACTTCCCGAATAAAGGAACATGTACCAAGATGGGTTCAAGGGGAAGTTGCTCAGATTGCCTACCCGCGTCAGATTCCATGTTCGCGCAGACCATCGGCTTCCTCGATAGGCAAACACCTATTAGACTCGGGTCACCGGATAGAGCTGGGCTCAGAGTTTAACGTTGTGTTACGTCACCCCAATCCCCGCTTCCTTCGGTTTGCTGAGGCTGTCGCTATAAGCAGGATTATGCCAGCCTTGTGTTTTCTGCCTAAATCTGCCTTGGACGTAGGTGTGAACTTCCGTAATTCATTCTGCACCTTTAGCTTGTCTGGTTGCACCCACTGTTAGCTGTATCTATGCATATCGGTTATTGTTAATGGTACTGAGGAGACAATACAAAATGCATGCATCTACCAGCCTTCGTCTTCTTTCCGTACATATGGTTTACTCTGGTCTGAGCGCAGTTTACTCTCCGCAATAACGAGCATGAACGCACTATGTCTTATCATACGCTATCTCTATTGCCACGAGAGTTTGCTGCTGATCTACGAGATATTTGATTTTTCTCATATAGTATTATGCATTATTTTCATCCTAAACTTGCCATCTTCCAGCACGCTACCGTTTCTAAGCACCAGCTTCCGGAACAATGTGATGGCGGCGAGTCACTGGACCGATGCACTCATTCCCAGTTCCTCAGGTACCCTTATACCCTAGGAGGCTATCTCAAACTAGATGAAGCGTTGTTCAAGCAACTGTTTCTGAATCGTTTCCCCATTCAGGTACAAGCCATTCTAGCGAGCAACGCGAGCAGCCTTCCTTTGACACAGCTCAATGGTATCGCCGATAAGACTTTCGAAATCCAGCCTGGCACATTTAAAATCCATGCATTGAAACGCACAGTGTACCAAAATCGATTAACAACCGTCGGGACGAAATGGCTAAGCAACTAACCGAAATTCGGTTAAATCGATCTACTCGACTCCGTACTTTTAGTGCTCGTTCATCTACTCGAACAAGAAGCCCATCTTTGCAGCATACTTCAAACATTTGCTGGTATTTTAGTCACTTCGGGTATTAATCCATGCTCCTCCCGTCAAACGCAGCTGTCGGAGTTTCCGCCCACGGGAAACGAACAGGCCGGACGATGGAAACGAGCACCATACTTGGCCAACAGCAAGTCAACGGTCGCCAACTAATTGTCTTAGATCATAACACCGATTACCGTTTCTTCATCAATACTGGAGCTGACATCAGTGTCATACTTCCAACCGACACTTTTGTTAACCGCACTCCATCATCAATGTTTTTAACAGCAGGTAATGGGAGCAGCATTGAAATATACGGTCAACAAAAATTGCTTCTCAAGCTTGGTCTGCGGCGACACTTTCGTTGGATATTCATCATCGCGAATATTCATTAGCCCAATTTAGAATTGGATTTCCAATCACATTTCTGTGACAGATGAAGTAGGGGAGAAGTGGTGAGAGAGACTAGAACATGAAGCAGAAACTAGAATGCAGCTGAATTACCGAAATTATCACAATTTAGGATCTTGGGCAACATGTTAAATTAGGTAAAATATTTTTGAAGCACAAAGTATTAATGCAATTTTAAATAACTATTCTCATCCTTTCTGTTTAGGTTGCTCACAGTCGTCTCATAACCTAACTCATCAACAAACCTGATGAGTCATACGTCTGAAATTAGAAAGTTTTTGAAGTAGATGAATATTGGGCGCTGCTGGTCCGAAACAAATTAGAACCTTGCACGCTGCCTACTATCTGCTGGCCATGCTTTGCAGACAGTTGTCTCACACTAGACAGGCTCTTATGGACGGAAGCAGAACATGAAGATCGATAAACCTTATTGACTTTCACTGATACATGCACACCAGATTAGAACGCAAATCAACGGTCAACGATACGTGTTACATGTGGACGCTACTCGAAAGAGTGTATTGGAACTAAAGTGAAAACTGACACGTTTGTAAACAAAGCACGGTTCTTATGTTTATCAAGTCGATGGCTGTTGGGTTCAGTGCCAACGTCAGCTTACGTGTCACCGAAGAGGTCAACTAGTCTGAAGCAAGGATCTACAAGCTACGTAGATGTAAGCAAAAAATACAGTCAATGGATGATTAAGATCTGATTCCTCTTACAGATAGCAGGCACAGTAAACTCGGAGTCAACCACTTCTACATCCTGGCCAACACTGTTGACCGTTTTATTTTTCATTGTTAGAACCTCGACCATGAAAAATCTTATGGACCAAGACTTGGGTATGTTTACCACTTGAGACCAGTCCCTTGAGTGGTCAACTTATGGAGGTTTTATTGTGTATGGGATTCACTAAGTACAGCTAACACAGCTAAGGGAATGTATTCTGCTAACACGTGATTGCATGTTTTCATCGCCATACAGTACTGCATAAAATACACCGGAGTAACGAAGGGTTTATTGCGATGGCCCAAATTGCCGAGGTACAGAATGCAAGGGAATAGCTCAGAGTAGAGTCGACGGGCCGGTGCCACTCTTAGGTGCGGAGCAGTATTCTGTCACACGAAAACGATCGATGTAATATTTAATATTAACTAACACTCTTCACTAGTCATTGCTTCCAATGATATACTGCTCTTTTTCGCCGGCCTTAACTTAAGAGGAAGAGTGTATAGTAACAAACAAGGTGAAACAGATGTTTTAAAATGTTTTTCGCCTATTCAGAGTCAAAGCTGTTGATGAAACTACACCGCTCCAAGCCAAAACCAGGATAAACAATGCAGTCAACACCCATGGACTGGTCGCGCTGTGATCGATCAGTGTTCCGGCCATCGCGGATCAGTTTAAGTTGGTCACGCCAGCTGCGCAATGTTGCAAATAAATGGGTATCATTTTGAATCAAAAAGCTTATAACAAATGTCACACGTTCCACTAAAGACGGCTGAAGAAAATGAGCTGCGAACTCCGAAAGTGGATGGGACCTCACAATACGTGTGCATTTGTGAATGTGAACGCCGAAAGGGAAGCATTTAGTCCTCTAAATGCGCTTTCTGTGTCGCGCAGCTGGTTCGCACAATCCAAGAGAATTGTTTCACTCTAGTACCTGAGAAGCAAAGGTGCAAGAAACGCGCAGCAAATCTAAGCTAGTTTAATACCACTATCCTGACGATAACGTCCTTATCTGCTCATCAAGATTCGGAAGCGACTGCGAGAGTCCAATATTAATTTCCAAGAACCCAATGATGTAGAGAAACTTTCGTTGCATCTATGGTTGGCGTCACTGGATTGAGCTCAACAACTGACCAATCGACTCAACGATAATGAACCACACTCACGTGCTTGTTCCGCTGTTGTTGGCCTTGGCAGTGTGGCTTCTTTGTTCCTGGCGGAGGCTGTGGCAACTGACTCGGATAACGCGTGCAGTAGTTCACGTCCACGTTGATCCCATGCTGCGCCTGGGGTTGTGGCAGGGGAATGATGATTTTCTAACTTGTCTTCTATCGCTTCCACCTTTTGCGGTTGATGCGTTGGCAAACTGCCGTTGTCTTTGGCAGAGTGACCATGCAATAGTTGGTCGGAGAACAATTTGGTCAGCTGTGCCAACAGATCCTGAACCTGAAGATTCGACAACATCACTTTATTAGTGAAATACAGCAGCGTTCATTGCATACCTACCAAAACACAGTAACATCAAAATCCACCCTTCGCTTCTTTAACGACCTGTCTTTATTGTGCTTGTAATGTCGAGTATGATGTTCTTGATGGAGGTGCATTAAACTACACCACTCACCATTGCTAGAACTTCGGGAGCCCCCTTGTTTGAATCACAATACGCAGTCTCAACGAAAAACACAGTCTAACCACAATAAAACTCAACGTCTTGAGCTTGTAAAGTGAAATTTGTATTAGCTAGTTTCCAGGATCCACATACGACCCTCACTACTACTTTGGCTAATGAACAACGTTACCTAACGGTTTGCCTGTCACCTAAGCCAATTACTTCGTATTATCGAGATTTTCTTTACTGCTTTTCTATTTTACACATTGGCTACCAATAAAGCCTAGCCCTAAGCTATTGCTTTGACTGTTCAAACTTATAAGTCGATTCCACAGCCCGACCTAAAACTTACAACACCTGATCCTTGTCATTTAGACGCTGTGTTCGATAAAGTTTAGCGAAGGAATTCTTAACCCTGCACTCAGTTTGTGTATGTTACTCTCATAGAAACTTGTATATTTGCTTGGCCTAAGATCAGCATTACTCGTGGTTCAATGTACCATTCCAACGGGTCAGAACGTAACAAGTGTGTGAAGTATCTTCTTTTCGATAAATCACTTTATACATCTACAGTCATAAAGCAATAGTACGACGTAAATAAACATTGCCTGTCATGACCCAGTTGCTTTAAGAGTAGAGGTCCTAACTGAAATTCAAATATTCTCGGCTTCGGGGCCTGCTATCTCTACACGACGAGATCAAACCACGTCGAAACGCCTATTGAAGTGCAGCGTTTTTGAGCGGGCAACATCAAATTCCATAAGATCGTGAAATCTGTTTCATGTTAAGTGAAGGTAAAAGAAACAACATCTGTGTACAACCGCTTATCAGGGCTATAGCAATTAACAATCAATGTCTTGTTTAGTCAGACAAGCCAGCATACGCAAACACACGTAATCACCGCTGAAAAGCTGAAGTTAGTTTACGGTAACGGCAATCTTAGGGTCCGCTGTTTGCACAACTCTGTTTTCAAAACCCTGATTGAGATGGTTTCCGCCTTTACTAATGTATATTTCTCGAGCTTCCCTGGATCGTGCTTTGCAAGATATCATGGACACACTACCAAGTGGTTGTTAATTAACATAACACTACGCCCCATTGCTAGAAAACCAGGAGCACCTAATGCAGTGCAGTATCTTCGAGGGGAACACCCCTTTATCTTTGGCTTTAACAAACGTCTATTGGTCATCGCTAAGACCGTCACAACCAGGGTTTTGAAACCAGAACGATGTAAACAATGGACTTTGGTGCAAGCCTTGAATTTTCCTTGACTTCAGCATAAATTATTCAGCGTTGATCACGTGTGTATGAGTATGCTACCTGGCCTGTTTGAACAAGCTATAGATGGATATGGCTGACGGCATCCAGATTCGGATTGGCCTGTCACTGTGTTCTCCGCGGGGACAGCCACTGGACGCCTGCGCCTACAGAGGGATCATGGGTGGCTTGCGCTGCACCACCCACAGCTCCATTCTCATACCCCATATCTAATGTAAAACCGAAATAATAAAACCAGGAGGCACGTGGGTGGGAGTCCCGTTTCATCAACCGAGCCGGCCCACACTCCTACAACATGCACAGCAGCAGCATTTCTGTATACCTATGTAGGGAAACATGCGTACCAGACGTACACAAGGCGGTGGCTGAACCGTAGTCCGCTCCACACACGGCCACGAGAACCGTGCACCCCGTCGCTTCCATCAAAAATTAACAGTCTCCTGGAAGCAGTAATCGAGGTGGAAGGTGTTAGAACAGTAGGCAACTTGTCAACATTCACATCATGCGCAGCCACAGCTGGGATGTGAAACGACCAACATAGAACCTAGAAGAAAATAGACACGCAAAATTTACACTCAATGTGCAACCAAATAACAGATATGAGCGAATCAAATTAGGTAGACTTCACTTTATCCAGCTTAAGAAGAATTGTTTAATTTAGTGTAGCCTAGACGCGGTGAAGAAGCATGATGTGTGCAAAGTCAACTTCAGCATCAGGTACTTGATATCTCATACTGTTTAGCTAATCAGTTGTACACAAATGTTATTTCTTCTATGCTCATTTATCTAACCCTGACAAAGTTTTCATGAGCTTATTCAAGTCATAATATTGCGTTATATTTTTAAATCCCTGAAGGGATTTCTCGAAAAGATCATTGTCTGCGGAATTGTTAATTTCAGTTCACTATGTAACAGTTTGCTTCCTTGGTTCAGCCATTGGGGTCTCGATACTACGCTTGCTGTCCTACGTGAGACACATACTTCCATGCAGATACCCTCATGGCCAAGCCGTCAGAATTTTCGAGTAACGCTTGTAACAGAAGCTGGGAGATCAATGCCAATATAACATAATAACCATTTTATAAGTGCACTGAGTCACAAAATTATAGCTTGGACGGCGATTACGTCTGAAACGAAACAGAATTTGCTGTGTCAGCTGTTGTACCTCTATCCCATTAGCCACTTCGACCATTACTTGTCAAAGCAGTTGATCTTTTGCAGTTGGGCTTTGGAATTAAAGTGGAACTTTTGAGCTATAACACACAACCACCGTTTGGCATGCCGTGTAGAGGCCAAACAGTGCCAATTTAGTGGAATACAATGATTACAGAGTGCAACATTACACACTTTTCAATACCTACATAAGTTTGATGTCTACTGTGAGTCCCAAACGGCCCAATTGCTGTTGTCCTGGTTTGAATCAAAGCAGTATCTGGTGTTCTGCATGCGCAGCATTTGCCCATAAATCGGAGTGCATAATATATTATTCCGCCCCTGGAAGTTTTGTGATTGTCCGGTACGTTCAAACCATTTTCTCACACACGGGGTGTAATTTGCATATTACCACAACTTTACGTAGGATCGAAAGCGAATTACTTGGCACCGCAAAATAAGCAACTTGTCTTGCCAAGGAGAATAGATGCATCGGTGAGTGTGAAATTTGGCATGAAGACGTGAGCTTTATCAGATTAAGTAGCCAAAGCTCATGAGTTTAGATGTATAATGAAATAACTAGATTGCAGCCAGCAGCCATTTCTGGTGTTAAATTACTCTTCATCATGTTCTAAGCAACAGCTCGGTGTCCGTTTCAGGAACTGTTTCAGAGCTGCTAGAGTGCAATTGGGCAATAAATTAGAAACAGGTTTCGGCAGAATTCACAGAAATCCTACCAAAAATGCCTTGAAGACAGGTAACATTCCTCGAGTCTATGCCGTTAGGCTGGGTTTTACAAAATGTTGATCGCCTAATGCACATTCCACAGGAATATCCTCATACGAGTAGGTGAAATATCAGCATGTGGTTTTATAAACTTGTGTCAACAACAGAAGCGCAACGTATGACCTTGAGATACTTCTGTTTCCTTACCGTTTTGATAAGTAGTGTATTTCCGGCTGTGCGAGATACAGTCCAACCATGAGGTCTAATCATTTGATACAACAGGATCAAAAAGAGCAGCTGTCTGTTCAAATTTTACTAAAGCAGTTCTCAGGTAGGTTTCAGTATCTTTAACCGGTTAAAATTATTAGCATGACGAAGTATTTGAGAGCAAAATAAAATTGGTTATTGCATAAAGTTCAAACGTAGTAATACGGCTTTCCTCGGAACCGTCTCTTGGTGACCTACTTCCGTGTGGAGTAGTCCCTCGAAAGGTTTCATCCGTATTTGCACGCTACAACCGTCCTTGTGCCGGTGTGGCATAGGAACAAGTAAGACATCACCGAACTAGTTCCTCTTTAGGACTCGTTTTACTTATAGATAGAAATAGGCTACCAGTGAGGCTAACATTCACTTTTTTATTGTTTTAAGCCATACACCCCGTTTTTACATTCGACACTTTCGAGTTGTTGTGCTCTACGAACCTTCACATGAAGCTCCCTGCAGTACGTACGATATGTCCAGTCTAGTATAATGTCGAACAAAAATACGCTCGATACGATTGTGCGAGTATCGATTCACTTCATTACATTATTTCTCATCAGCAGAAATCTTAAAGTTTTTCGCCGTCTGGTAAACACGTCATCGCAAGAAAATTTTTGTTCCTTTGTAGCGCCTCCATTCATTCCATGCCGACAACTCCATTAAATATGCTTATGTTTTCGTTCAAACCACAAAGAACGACTATGTAAACCGGTGGTCAAATATTCGTCATCGCGAATTGATCCAAAATCTATCTTCAAGTTCACCGACTTTGTTTGTACTCTGATAATGATGTTGAATTTGAGCTAAGGTCGGACCTATGTATGAAGATCACACGTCGTTTCATCGACGTGTTATGATTAGCAATGTAATGCATTAAATGTGTACGGTAACTTGTCCTTAGAATTCCACTATTTTGCTTGTTCTTAGGATGACAAAAGTCTCTTCTTATGCCTGAAAGTGACAAAAAGCAGTTATGTAGACTTTCGATGTTTTACTTGATTATATAGACATTTCTGGATATGCTCCCATGACGACGTTTTATGCTTATACTTCAGAGCTTATACGCACTTCTTTCGTTTTCAGTGCTATTGCTGATTTTGATTGAATAAGCAGCTCATATTAATTCATAGCTTTATCCGGGAAGTTACATAGTCCTATCCTTTTTATCAATCGCATTCAAAAATATCCGTAGCCAAGTGTATGAGTAGTTTTGTAAGAATTTTGGTCAAGTATTCTATAAACACTAGGATCTAACCAAGTTTCCGCTGAAAGCTTTTGGATCGGACAAATTGTTCGGAAGCTGGAGTTCACTATGTTTCGATAATCCACTTAAGGCATTAGCCAGTAGGGTCACATATCAGCTAACAAACACTGTGTTGACACAAACCATGCCATTGCCGTTGTATTAACCTTAAATAGAAGCAAACGTTACCAAGGA